TTTTAAATTTTGTGTTTTATAAATTTTTAAAATTTTAAATTATCTAATAAATCTTATATTTTCTAACTTTTAAATTTGATAACTTATTAGATATAAAATTAAGAGTTTAAAAGATTATTAAAGTTTTGAAAATTTAAGATCAAACAAACACAAATTTCTAAGTTTATGAGTAAAATTTGTGTGAGATCCCATGTCGATTGGAGAAAGGGACGTTGGCCCCAAACGAGGTGAATTGTGAGATCTCGTATCGGTTGGAGAGAGGAATGGGCTGATAACGATACATAACGAGCTAAAGTAGACAATATCTGCTAGCGGTGGGCTTGGGCTGTTACAAATGGTATCAGAGCTAGACACCGAGCATATGCCAACAAGAACGTTGAGCCTCCAATGGGGGTGAACTGTGAGATCCCACATCGGTTGAAGAGGGGAACAAAACATTAAAGGTGTAAAACCTCTCTCTAAAAATGATAAGTAATGGGTCAAAACCGACAACATGATCTTGTAGGGTCTTCACATGCAAAAACAAAATAAGAAATGTGCTCACCACTCACAATAATCTTTGACCCTTTTATTTTGTTCCCTCTTTAGATTTGAACGACAAAACCACCGACATGTCGATTTTTAAAAACGATAACTAATTTCTGCACCCACGGTGCCACCAAACCATGATGCTATCGTTTGCATATTTCAGACCTTCTCACTTCTAAAATTTTCAATCATAAAATAAAAAAATTGTAACTAAGTCGTTACAAATAATATATGGGCACTGAATCTTCTAATAAGATGTAGTTCGGGGACAAACCAAAGTGGAAGCTAGTGAGCATGTGACATCCGAGTAAAAGAATGATACATGAATGAATCAATATCACATCTAAATGAGAGCAATCACGAAGATAAAATTACTAAAAAAGACTTGTAAAAATTAAGAATCCCTACATATATCAATAAAGTACATCTTTTTTTTCGATAATTCAATCGTAAAAACTTTATGATTAAACGTGCTTCACTTGAAAGATAAAGTGTAGTACGAGGGATCATACGAATACAACAAAATGAATCCAAAACGGAGATTTATGTAATGACTTTTGAAAGTTTGACTAAAGAGAGAGAGACATAGGTTGGCCGACATCCCCACTTTCATTCTTCCATTTGACATTCAATTTCTCTCTCCAAGACATTACTATTACCACCAAGCTAACGACGTGGCCACGTTATATATTTGTTTCAAAGTACTCCTAAAAGTAAAGACTCTCCTCACAAATCTCTTTAGAGAATAGCCACAATCCGTACTTCACTTAAGTTCGATATATTTGATGAGAGCCTTAACGTATTTCTAAGAATAAAAATTATCCCCCACAAATCAATATGCGTCCGTTTAACATGTCTTGTGTGAGATTTCACACCAGTTAGAGAGAAAACGAAACATTCCTTATAAGGATGTGGAAGTTTCTCCCTAGTTAGACGAGTTTTAAAACCATGAGGTTGGCAGCGATACATAATAAGCCAAATCGAACAATATTTGCTAGAGGTGGGCTTAAGCTGTTACAAATGATATCAAACACTAAGCGGTGTGTCAGCGAGGACGCAGGGCCACACAAGAGAGCGAGCTGTGAGATCCCACATCGGTTGGAGAAGGGAATGAATTATTTCTTATGAGGGTATGAAAACTTCTCTTTAATAAACTGAGTTTTAAAATCGTCAGGTGACAACAAATAAAATAATATATTTTTTTTCTTTTTTTCTTCATGTTCATTCCCCCCACCCAAATTAAATATGGGGAATAGGCCTACCAACAAATAGAATGCTTTTGAATAAAAATTGGTTTTTTTTTTTTTTTTTTGAATGAATTATTTTAATCATCTAAACTTGTTCATATTAATTTAATATAGGGTTTCTCCAATTTGGGTAAAGATCGAGACACTCCACTGTAGCTTAGAAGTTTAGTAGTCATGGAAGAGTTGATTTTTCTTAGGTGGGAACGAGATCGCGTAAAATATATTAAAAGTTGCAAAGAAAATCAAGTAAAAAGTCCGAGATTTTTTATTTTGATATCAAAACTTTCATCATGTCTATTTTATTACAATTTTTCAAACTTTTAGATATTTTCTTTTTAACCATTTTAATCAAAAATTTAACAATCGAGATCTATAAATCTACGTGAATTGAGATTTCAATAAATTTGAAAATACAAAACTTTGATATCAATTCGAACATAACTCAGTAGACACAACATCAATCACCATTTCAAGGCATAACAATTTGCTTGAATTAGGGTTTCTTAGTATTTCAATAATGGGTCTCGATCTTTTTAGTTGCATTCTTTATGTAAATCATCAATCTCTTGGCAAATGCATTCCAAATGACCTAAAAATTTTGTATCTCACCTTGCTATCCATATTATTAGGAACTCAAAGACGCTCCATATATGAATCTTGTAGCATATTTGATAATTAAATTGATCAAAAATTTAAGAGAGCATTAACACTAAAGTTTTCGATTACGACTCCACAACATCAATCGAAATATCATATTCATTATGAATAATGTTCGTTAGGATTATAGTCGATTTATGAATGGTTAGGTAAACCGAACTAAGAGGGAACACTTTTAACTAAATTAACTATAAACTATCTACCCATAATAAATTGTGAGGAAAAAATAAACAAAAAGGTCAAGATCGTTGAATATATAACCATATTAAAGCATTTAGTCAAACTTTTCGCACAAGAAAATAAAAATATATATATATATATATATATATATATAAATATTATATTACCGACTTTAAATCTCAACTTTTCAAGACAGGTATCAATGACTCTTAACAAAAGTTGGTCGGAAAATATCCATTTCTTTTTTTTTTTTTTTTTTAATGGAGTAAAAACAAAACTCTTTTAAAAAAAAAAAAAAAAAAAAGTTAGCTTGTAATTTAGGGTTTCTCAAAATTTGTGTAAGAAAATGGGGAATAAAAGTAAAGGGAGGTGGGACAAAGCATCTAATGAAAGATTTGACAAAATATTGGATTATTAGTAATAATCTTCGACAATCACGTCTTACTGCTCTCGTTTTGAACGACCTTTTTTTCAGTTGAGCTTCTATAATTGGTTATGTTGGGACCTTTATTTGATTCCGACAACTGCGAGAGAGAGCTCCTAACTTCTGTACTTTTTTTACTTAACTAGTCAATTTTGGACAATTATCACTTCCAATAAAATACACTATAGAGTCTCCTTCTCTAGAGCTCTCTAATAATCTCTTCTTAATCTATGCTCCATGCGTTCTCTGGAACCCTCGAACACATTATACTTTTTGTTCGATACTTAAGTTAAGTATAGGTTCGTAAACTAAACAGACATAAATGTTAAAGTTATCATGAAAAAAGAAAAGTTAGCTTGCAATGTTGGGCTCCTCAAATTGTGTGCAAGAAAAAGAGGAAAAGAGGAGAAGATTGACCCAAAATTGTACCTATTTGGGCATTTTTTAATTGAAAAGCCTAAAAAATCTCTCTTCAAAAGGTCCCTCAAATTTGGTAATACAAGCTCTCCCTTACCCCTTCCTCTCCCTATCAATTTCAATCATTACCTCTTTGGGCTTTTATATATATATATATATATATATAACACCTAATCATTCCTCCTTCTATTTTCTTTGCTTTGCTTTCAAAGAGTTTTGATCTTTTCGTTCACTTTTCAAACGTTTAGTCACATGCACATCTTTCGTGACGTCTTGTTTTTTCGAAACATTATGACCCAATTCATTTTTAATTTCAACGTTTGTTAATGCATTACTATCTTATAGTATTTATATGTTGTGGGTTGGGTCGGGTTAGGTTGCTAGAATTAAGATAGCAATCGGTTAAAATGGTTATTAGTGTTGGTTGGGATACACTAATTCATTCCACTTTAAGTGGGCCCAATGATCTGTTTCAATGGGCCAACCTAGGCTTGACCAATGAGCTCACGGCCCAAAATAGTCTAAAAGGCTTTTTTAAAGCCCAACTTAAAACTATTTTTTAAATTTTAGCCCACGTGTTTCCCGTAACTCCGTGGGCCAACCGTATGACAGCTGTCTGAGGGCGCGTGTGAACGCGCAGTAAACAAACAAACAGCTCATTCCTCAATTTAAATTTAAATATGATTATTACCATTTATTAGTATGTTAAACTTGAGATTTATAATTGGAGACGATTATCTTTGTTACCATTTATTGGTACAAGATCTTTTATATGAAATTAAAAACTAAAATTATGAGATTTTTTTTTTATATTGTCCGGACAATATCATATTATTATAAAAATAAATAAATGGGTCGTTGTTCTTAACTGTTGATATAAAAGTTATGGTCTAAATCGTTGAGAAAAACTCAAGATTAAAACAAAAAGGTAAGTGGGTCTTATTAACGCTCTATTTAGGTGTCTCACCAACCTTGAGAAGAGAAAACTCTCTTTCTCGAGAGTGGATGAATGAATAGTCATTCGAGGGGAGCCACTAACTTTGCTCAGAGCAAACTCTCCTCTCGTTAACAGAGTAAACTTAAATACCTAAAAACCCGACACAAAACCTAATAAAGTACCAAATTTAATCGTTTCATGCTCATGTTTCATCAAACGACAAGAGAAGAGAAAAAAAAAAAAAAAAAAA